TGTGTGTGTGTGTGTGTGTGTGTGTGTGTGTGTGTGTGTGTGTGTGTGTGTGTGTGTCTGTGCTGTGTAGTCTCATCCTCTGTAGGACAGAGCGCGACATTAGGTGTCCTATGCAATCACTCCTTGCTGTATTATTACCTGAGACATCCTCTCATTGAACCTGGAGCTAGACTGAAGCCTCACAGTCCCCAGAAATCCCTGTCTCTGTCCCCTCCCCTGCACAGCACTGGAGTTGCAGACCCATGGGGCCACATCCAACTTTCTATGTGGGTGCATGCAAAGCTTCATAGTCAGGTCCTCATGCTCGCATAGCAAGAACTCTGTGTCTGTGGAGCCAAGTCTCCAGTCCCAGCGTGAAGGACTTGTGGTGTATGTGTCTGTTCTCCTTTACTTTGTAAATTTATTGCTGTTGAATACCTATAGCATAAAATGTAACGTTTGTTCATGTATAATCAGTGCCATTAAATACATTCACAATATTGTATAACAGTTATGCGTAACTTTCCCTCTCTGCATCTCTCTCATTTTTTTCTGGCTGAAACTCTGTACAGTGTTAAACACATTTATTGCCATGTCCTTGAGACCACTCTTCTGCTTTCTGTCTCTAAATTGAACTTTCCCTACATACTGCCTAAGTATTTGGTATAAATGGAGTCATGCTGGTTGGGGATTTAGCTCAGTGGTAGAGCGTTTGCCTGGCAAGTGCAAGGCCCTGGGTTCGGTCCTCAGCTCCGGGGGAAAACAAAACAAACAAACAAACAAACAAAAAAGCCCAACTAAACAAAATCCAAATGGAGTCATGCTACATATGTCTCTATGTAATGTGCTTGTTTCACTTAACATGACAGCCTCAATTTTCATCAGTGTAGTGAGGCTGGAATTTTCTTTGTGAAGACCAAACAGCGTTCAATTGTATGAGTGTAGCACTTTGTTTACTTGGGTTATTTACACTTTGGGATTGTTGTGAATAATGGTACTTCTAGCCAGGTTCCTCCTTTTTAGTCTTGGGTGTGTATCTGGCAGTGGAAATGCTGAGTGACGTGGTGGCTTTGCATATAGGTTTGGGGAACTGTCATACCATTTTTCATAGCACTTACAGTGATGTCCACCATATTCCAATTTTCCTGCGTACTGCCAGCATTTAAAACTACATTTCATATTTTGATATTAGAGAGAAACCGATCTGGTTTAAGAAGATACATCAGGATAGGGCTAGGAATATTTATAAAACTGTCTTTTTATCAGTCTGTTCCTTATAGAGTAAGATTAATCTTTCCACAGTGGGAGGGGGAAAAGAAATCGGACAAGGTGGCTCACCCTCTAATTCTAGCACTTGGGAGTTACAGGCAGGAGGATCAGGAGTCAAGGTCATTCTTGGCTGCATAGCAGGTCTGAGGTCAACCTAAGTGGTTAGTTTAAGGACGCATCTGAGATTATGCTGCAGAGATTGGTTTGGGAATGCTTTGAGGTAGTCTTTGCCTCTAAAGTTTACCTTGGGCATTAGGGAGCTATTGAAAGTTCTTTGGAATTGTACAGCCCAGTCCTTTTCCGTGGTTTGGGAAGATTTGTCTAACTGATACGTTGGAGAAATTAAGCACTAGGAATTTCCACACGCCCTCCAGTGTTTCAGTCACTGAATTTGTGTCAGTGTACACGATGCTGTGTGCACGCTGCCGTGCGTTTCTTCGAGCATGTCCCTGTGGAGAAGTGGTGTGTGACCACAATCACTCTCTATCATAGGTTATTCTATAAATCATAAACAGTGTATGTGCCTCAGTTAGTCCTAGGGCTATTATAATAGAATCAGGGAGTTTTCCAGAATTACAGAGAAGGTGAGATCGATAATCTCCTTTAGAATGATTCAGGGTTATTAATAGCTAGAGAGAGGTAGGGTGTGTTTACTGTCTTGGTGAGCAAGAGATAAAGAATGGTTTGTGTAGAAAGGGAAAAAAGCACATGACAGACACTTGAAAAGAGCACCTGCTAATACAGATGAGGTTGACCAAGCATGTTGTTTTTAACATGTGGAAGCACCCCTTAAATTTGAAGCAACTCAAAGCATTCTTCAGATATTTATGGTGACATTTGAGAAAGGAAGACTCAATAAGAGAAAATAGAGTTGTGTGTGTTTTGAATTTTGTAAAGAAAATCTTACTTTTCGCTTTCTATGGAGCACCTTGGTTATTTAGTTGAAGTATTCCCAGGACCCTGCAGCCCAGCCCTGCTCTGCTCCTGTTGGACACTCACTGGCTGTGGGAGCTCACCAGCTGTTTGACTGGCAGGAACAGGAGCGCTCACTTGAGGAGTTTCTAATTCCTGGCTATTCTAGGACAGTTTGCACTTCACCAAGCCTCAGACAGGTCAGGACACTCGCAAAGAGAAGGTTGAAAGACAAAAGCAGCAGCAGGCCTTGGGTTCTCGGCCCTTTAAAACTACTATAGATGTCTTTTGATTTGGTGACTAGTGCTGTAGTAATGTGCCTGTGTTACATGTAGAGAGTATTCATCAACCAAGAGGAGTTTAAAATGTCAAAGCCGGGAAAAGCTCCTGTGAACCATGGCTTGGTTCCTGTTGATCTTAAAACCTCAAAAGAACCTCTGCCACATCAGACTGTGATGAAGATCTTTAGCATTAGCATCATTGCCCAGGGCCTGCCCTTTTGTCGAAGACGGGTAAGTCAGTCACTTTGGGAAAGCAAGAATGTTTCTTTCAATGCTTGTTTTTCTTCTAGTGAAGCAGGGTCTGGGTTACATGTGTGTTTGTGAGGAAAGCTAGCGGTGCATTGTGTAGCCAGGGAAAACGCACACAGCACCAGCTCTACAGATGACCTGGAGCCTGGCAGGCTTACCCACTGTGTCTTCTGTCTCATTTATTTTTTCCTGAGACTAAACTCCTCTAAACTTATTTCAAACTGGTAAATATGAAAAAGATATGTCTTGAGATATGTAGCTAAATATTACAAACTCAATTTTGAAGCTTTTGTTTTGCTGGGAAGTCAAAAGCTGCTGCTGTTGTGTTCCTTCCATGTGGGAAATACAGCATCTAGTTCAAAGAGCACTCCAGGTCCTTAGAGGTCTTTGGCCCTTAACACTGGGTTATTTTTAAAAGCTGTTTCATGAATTAAAACTTAATAAATTAAGAGAGATGTCACTTTTTTGCTGAAACAGAAGTAGCATGCTGCTGTGTGATCCAGTTTATATATAGACATCCCAAACTAACTTGCATTTTGCGAACTAGTGTTAATGTATAATTAACTCAAGATCCATTGGATGTTTTTCAGTATGACCTACTGAAGCTGTTAGTATTAGCAATATGTGTTTCTTCTGACTTAGCTGGTGTTAGCATTTTTACTTATTTACTAGAGTGATGTATTTATAGATCTAAATACGTTTATGATCCTGAGCACATTAGGCCCTAACGCATGTTTGTTTGTATATGAACACATGCACGCATACACGCACATACAGTCTCCTTGGAAACAAATGAGAACTTGTTTAATCAATGTTGTTAGTGTCTTAGATCTCTTATAGTTATTTTTTTTAAACTGAAGGAGACAAGTAGAATAACCAACCCATAACATTAAAAAAAATAGTTTGTCTCTGTAAAGAGACTCTTCTTTTTACTGAGATTGAAGTAGGCTTTGTAATAATTTTTTTTCTAATTGCCTAGTTCCTTCTGAGTGATTTCAACTTCTGTCCAAAGTAAGTGGCAGCCATGTTGGAAAACGAAGTGAAAATTGTGTATTTTAAAAGTTGGAAACAGAATCCCAGTACCTCTCTTGTCCTGTTTCTCCTCTTCTCCCTTTCTTTCCTGGTTCTTCCATCTTCTGATTCCCATCTTCACCTGTCAGTTGGAGAGCTTCTGTGGAGTGAGGTCACTGCTCGAATCTGCGTGTTTTACAAGAGGCCTTTGACAGCTGTAAAGGCATTCGGAAAATAATGTAGTCCTTCTGTAAAAAAAAAAATACCAGCACAAATAAGTTCAAAAGACAAAACTTAACAAACGTATAAAACATGAAACCCTTTTACAGTAAATATTTAAAATATTGATAACCAAGTTAATTTTATCTTGTTCTTACTTTGTAACAAACTTAGAGAGTTTTGGTAGGTGGGAGACTTTCTGTCACAGTGCATTTGTTCGGAAGCTGCTCCTATGGGAAGAAGGACCTTGAGGCTTTCCTGGAGGTTTTCTGATGTCCCTCCTCTGACTTTCTAGGTTACTATGCTAAATTATAGCCATGCAGCTGCAATACCATGATCAAACTAAGTATGAAAATAAAAATTGAACTAGAAAATTAGAAGTAAAAAATGTCTAAAGGTTTGAAAAGGTTTAATTTATAAAGAAAATCAGTCATTTAGTTTTTGTGTGCCTGTTCATCATTGAGTGCTCCATGACCCATTGGCTTTGCCTCCTGGAAACACCAGCGTTCTGAGACCTTCTCTCCACATCCGCTTCCTTTCAGTGGACTTACAGTATCTTCATTAGCTTACTGACTTTCCCCTGGTACAGCTATGGCAGATATTTTAAGTGTATTTTGTTTATGAGAGAATTCTTCTGAAGTGCCATAGAGTTGATTATATTTTATGCCAGATGTTTTGGAGAACATGATATCCCTTTCATAGATGCTGAGTCAGTTCATGTTTGTAGGGCTAGTGTTTTGAACGAAATTGAAAACAATGACAGTATGAAAATTGTGAAAAAATCTTTAAAGCCATAACCATAGCTACAGTTTCAACCTCTCTCCCTCTTCCCTCTTTAGAAAATGTGTTTAACTTATTATCAAGTATCATATTAATGTGGGTAGTCTAATTCATTAGTTTTTCTAAGCTCTCACCTGGAGTATGTAAGCATTAAATTTTTTTTAATGTAGCAGTAAGTAAATAACAAACTAGGTACTAATCTGTAACTATTGAGTTAAAATACTTTAGCATCAATGAACCCATCAGCTAGACTATTTGTTAAAAAAAACCAACTCTGCGGGGGCCTGGAATATGGCTCAGTTGTTAATAGTGCATACTGCTCTTATAGAAGGCTCTTATAGTTAATAGTGCATACTGCTCTTATAGAAGTTTGGTTCCCAGCACATTAGGTGGCTCATAGCTCACCTATAGTTCCTGCTCCAGGAGATCCTGACACCCTCTTCTAGACTTCTCAGGCACCTGCACTCACATGCATACACTCTCCCCAGCTACACACACACACACACACACACACACACACACACACATTTTAAAAAATTCTTTCAAAGGTAAGCTCTATAGGCAATTCTTAGTATCACAGAAGTTTAGGAATAAGCCTTGATTATCTTTTAGAAGAATAGAAATAATTGTATAACTTTATTTTTCCTTTGAAATTGGAATGCTTTTAATTATGATAGTAATATATTTCTGAAATCCCAATATACTATTTTTTCTACATTTTGAGGATATCTAACACAAAGATGCAGTTTTTTTTTTTTTAACTAAGAGAAATATTGGTAAATTTTACAGTGAGTATCTTTGAAGAAAACCACTCAGTGTTTAAATCTCATGTACTCATTTCAGCTTTGGAACACTTAAATGTCTAGACTGTTCTTGTAGTTTTATTCTTCATTGTTACTATTTTGTCAGAAATTTTGGGATGATATGTAGTTGTTGATATAGATAGGGTTTTTTTTTAATTTTTATTTTTATTTATTTATTTATTTATTTATTTATTTATTTATTTCTGAGACAGGGTTTCTCTGTGTAACTCACTCTGGAGACCAATCTGTTCTCGAACTCAGAGAGATCCTCCTGCCTCTGACTCCTGAGTGTTGGGATTAAAGGTGTGCACCACCACTTGGCTTAGATAAAAGTGTTATGCACCTGGTTGTGCTAGTTTATGGCCAGAAAACGCCCTCAGCGTGGCTTGTAGGTTTTGGGTGTGTGTAGCACAGGCTTCATTTAGCAGCATGGACAACTGAGTTGGGTAGAGCTTGGTGACAGGCGGGCATGAGTGTGGGAAAGGACTCGTAGGTCCGTTTCTGTTATTCATTTGTGTTTGTTTCTTGAGACAGTCTTACTGTGTAGTTCAGGTTGGCCTGAAACTAGAGATTCTCCTGCTTCAGCCTTCCTAGTACCAGGATTATATACCAACCATGCTTGATTTTACAGAGCCCAATGTGTAGTCTACGTAGTGCTCTTGTCTTTTGAGCCTTCAGTCCTTAAATGACTTAAATGCAAGTTACATACTGTAAACCAAGATATTTCTCCAGTCAGTAGATAAGGGAATGGAGACTTAACCAAGAGAACTCTCCTAGTTTTTGTGGTGAATGGCAGACATAACTTAATAGCTTGTTCTGTATGCAAAGACTCATTAGTTTAGGCTGTATGTCATTTTATTCATGTTCTACTAGTGGACTTTAGACCACCCAGTTAGAATTTTTCAGCAAAAGTCTGCCATAATTATTAAGCAGTTGTACTGTTTTTTGTTTTAGGAAGAACGCCTCTAATTATCCCTTTTGTAGTAAAATCTTCATGTGTATAGAGATTTTGCATGCTCCTAAAGAGTATGCCACGATCATGACAGCCTTTCTTAGTAAAGCAAATGTATAATGTACTACCATACTGAATTTAGAAATGTAGTATCTCCCCAAATTATCTGAATTGGCTAACTTATGTAATGACATTTTATTTTCCTCTAATATTTAATACCTCTTACATCTAAAAAATAGGACATGCTTATTATATGCCAAAGATTTTTCTTTACTTCCTAAATTGTTAGTAATTTTACTGCTCAGAAACAACCAAAACAATAGTTTTAAATATTTAATTATTTTTAAACCAAATTGACAGTTGTACCCATTCTTACTGTGTTGCTAGTATTTCTCTAAGTTCTGGAATGTGTCTCATCTGCCACATGAATGTGCCATAAGTGTGCTAAGTACACGACACTTGTACAACTGTTAATTTAAATAGTGACATGCTTTGCCCCCCCCCACACACATACACATACACACACACACACACACACACACACACACACACACACACACACAATTTTTAAGTCACTTTCCAGAAAATTGTACCAATTATAAAAATACCACAGGGGCTTTCTAACATTATTAAAATACAAAGATAATCCCAAGCCTATTTATTCTTACTAAAACATGTTATGGACATTTGCCTAGGTAATATCTGTCCTGGAATTTCAACTAAGTATGTATCATTATTTCTTTATGAAGAAAACGTGAAAATAAATGCAAAATTATTTGTTCACAGTGATCCTTTTCTTTAATGTGGAAAAGGACATTTACCATAGACTTGTCACCTGTATTATTTCCAACTGTAAGATTTTCTACTCTTCTCATACCTTTTAAACTATGTTCTATGTTTTTGTACAAATAGATTGCCCACGTGTGATTTTTTAAAAATGTATTTCTGATTCAATGTCTTCTTTTTATTACTGGTCTTCTGATAGATGCCTTGGTTTTTATGTCACATTATACTCTTACACTTCTGGATTTTAGTGAGGTATTTTTACAGTATTAATGGCAGCCTCTCCCAAAGTGTACTGCTATTAATAATCTCTGCTTCAGAGTCCTTCTCATGCTCACAGCAGCAGCTGCCAGAGATACTTGCCTGTTTCTTGTACAGTGTTACTTAGGTCGAACATTTTTGTCATAGCTTTGCCAATTAGCCACTTTCTAGGC